ATCATTCTGGACACATGACAACAGCACTGGCCTACAGGACAGAATTATAGTCATTTTCTAATTATTCACCTGTTTTTTTATATACAGAATAAGGGTTTTTGTAGGTAAATTCGTCATGTTCAACTTGTGAATTCCAATGCACCTTAAAAAGACTGCATTCTGTGTGTCTCCAAAAATATTAGTTGTCAAGGTAATAACGTCCATCTAAATTTAGAAGTAGTCAGCAGCTCTGGTTTGGGTCGTTTGAGACACTTCACTTTCATCTAGGACACGCTGGTGGGAACACAGGTATTTGGGTGGGATTTCTCCAGGTACTTCAGCTTTCTCCAGCTATCATGTACAGCGAGTGTAATATATATATATAGATAGATAGATATACTGTATATATTATTGTACAGTCTTTTTATTCCTGTTGTATACAACCACTTTATTAGACTTGCAATCTAATTTAATCTAATCTATTCAGATTAGGGCTGACATACAGTATCTTTAGTTGAAAACAATGAGGATTTCTCTTTAAACTTTTTCTAATATATAAGATGAATGAAGTAAACTAAGTGTCTGAGACTCACGCTACACTTTAAAGACTTTATTAAAGACTCGAACTTTGACATAAAGTATTATTTTAGTCACTTTGATATTCTCCTAATTAACTGTTTAAATGTTGTTTTTATTTAACAGAAAATGAAGGTTTAATTTGATTTACACATAATTACAATGATTAACTATTCTGACCTTCTAACATTTGTAACATTTCAAATGTACATTATAAATTTGCCTCTTCAGGGGTTACAGTACCAGAACAGTGAATCTCTGTTTGTACATTTTTAAAAATAACCACTGCCACTGTAGGTGGCTGAGTTAGAAATTTAAGGATTGTGTTGCCCAGGGACACAAGGGCTGGATAGGAGTGCGGGGTTTCTGGGTGTTTATAAAAGTCACTTTCGCTGTGGTTGTCTCTTTATATATATATATGTGTGTGTGTGTGTGTGTGTGTATATATATATATATATCTGTTTGTCCGTCTCTCTTCACTTTCTACTTATTTAAACAGCAGCGGGTTGTTTCTACAACAAAACAATGTTCGTCTTGACTCTGGTACTGCTCTGGTACTGACTCTGGTACGTATGTGTGTGTGTTTTTAACTTAAACCAGCGTCAGTTTCATTCAAAGCCAACACTAGAGCCACAAAACAAAAACAAAGACAGGACCTTCGCCCGGACACTGACATGAACACAAACACAGATGATTATATTCAGTACCTTCAGTGAGAAAGGCGCTCCTTCCCTGGTTCCCCCTCTGTTCTTGTTCTTGTTCTTGTTCTTCCCCGTTCACCCCGTTCTCCGTTCTCTCTCCCTCATTGTATGTCGGCTGGATGTGCGGCTCCCACCGTCCACACCAAACTCCCCCTCTCTCACACTCTCTCTCTCTCTCTCTCTCCCTCATTCTCTCTGGAGTGCGGTTTGAAGGAATCACGTGACGTCTTTTTAAATCTGTGTTCAGGTGCGTTTCACATGTCAACTCTGTTCCTCATGCATACTCATAAAATAGCACTAATGTAGAACACAAACAAATATATCGCGCGACATCACTATCTTCTCACAGAAAACGAGCCAAGCTGTTGGCAGCAACAATAATAATAGTGAATCCTGCACGGTATGTATAGATATATTCATGTACTTAAGTGTGTCAGACAGGGGTCCAGAACTGCTGGCTCCGTTCTTTGTCACGACGATCATCATGCTGAAAGTACGGATGAAAATGGTCAGTAAATACAAGGTTGGGTCAAAAAGTTGTGAAAGAATAAAAAAAAAAGTGATATTGAAAATGTCAGACTAATTCATTTATTTCCGACGCCGGCGCCGTTTTTGTTTTGTTAGTTTTTTCTATCAGAGAAGTTCAACCATAAGATAGTTTCCACTCATCTCTACATTCTTGGCTGCAGCATCCTCATCAGGTGGGAGCGCACTTCACTCTGGTCAGTTCGGTTTTCGAATCCATTTCTTGGTTCCATTCGGGACTTCACTTTTACGAGCCGCATTGTGCCAACCTAATGAACCGAGGACCTGTCGTCAAAGTGTGAGGACCATAGAGTGAGAGACAAAATAAAAATAAAACAAGAAGAAATTTAATTCAGGCGACACACAAATCCACAAATCGGTTTATCTGTAATAATAATAATAATAATAATAATAGGACCGTCTGTATGAACAAAGCATGCAGAGATGATTTTTAGAATTATTTTTATTTACATTCAAGAGTAATGTGAGTCTAGCTGAGATACCGACACAGTCAAATTAGGTAAAAACAGTGAAATAATAAGGATACTTCAGACATTGTATATAAAACACATGACGAATAATGATATGGAGTCAACGTGAGGAGAACAGACTTGCAGGATGAAGGAGACGTACAGTAAGAAGAGGCACACCTGAGGAGAGGAGCCATGTTTATTGATGTCTACATAAACTGTGACTGGACTGGAATCTGAAAAAAAAAACAGTTCTAATAAGAAAGATTAAGAGAGAGATTCTGTTAAAGGGATTATTTAATCTACAACGTCTGCGATTATAGAAGTGCAAGTCGGGCCACTGACACTGACAGAACTGTCGCTGACTAAAATCTAAGTATGTACACTGAATATTGTGAACGTCTTCTTACTACTGCACTGATCCAATGACGTGGACTCCTTCACCAGTTCAACTTACTTCCACATACATTTCAGCCCAAATTCGGCAAGCAGGATAATATTGTTCCATTAATGGTGAACAGGCAATCAAACTGACATCCAAGTCTTCGTAAACATCACATGCTGACAGTGTGCTCTAGTATTGTCACTGCATTGTGCTAGTACTGTGTACATGTTTGTTAAATGGCTAACAGAGTGAATGGCAGGTCTCAGCTTGTACTAAGAAAAACTGTTATAAATTGACATTGAAGAGATCACAGCGAACGCTACTTCTGGCAGGTTCTTTTTTTTTTTTGTTTGTTTTTTGTTTTTTTCTAAAGGTTTGGCACATGCAGTATTTGTACAAGACAGGGAGAGAAGAAAAAACAGAGACAAACCTATACCATTAGAGTATTCAAAGGTTAAAGGATTTTAAATATTTCCAAATTATTTGAAAGAAATAAATTGTGGGGAGAACAGGGAGAGAAATAGACATGCACATATAAATGAGCTAACATAATAAAGGATTTGACAAAAACACATTTTGGATTATAACAAAACTGACACCAGCGAGCGGGGCCTCTGATTCCCCTCACATAAGAACTTCCTGGACAAACAGGTCCAAGCAAAACCAAGAACCATCAAACAACGAGCTTTCACTGAGCCGATGACTTCCATCAGGTGGTTAAAGTCATAACCTGTCATTAAAATTTATCCTACTTTCTACAGTCTCTGCATTCTGTAGCTTTTGTCATTCATGTTTCCTTACTCACTTTCATACAAACTTACAAAGCTAACATTTTCGTTAATGACGTACAAAAGAAGAATTAACTTGGTGATTAAGAAGATATTTGACCTCTACGTTAACAGAGGTCACTGTTGGTAACCTTTTACAGAATGTTTTTTTTAGTTGCAAATCTTTGTCTCCGAGCATGCAGAACTGTTTATAGCAGTTTTCTCTTTTTTTTTTTTTTCAGACACCCATGACCTACACCCATCCACAGCATGCAGATACAGAGACAAAGTCAAGAAATGAACAAACAAACCTGCAGGAAAATCTGTGGACAAAAGTGTAAAGTGAAATACAGAATAAAAAAAGAGAGAAAAGAATTGGAAACTATTTTATACAGCCTGCGAAATCTGGATTCATCACCTCCAGTTTATCCAAAGATAATCTGTACTGGATTATATTTGTCATCATTTCATGTCAAATTAGTACAAATTTTTGATTGTTTGTTTTTCTAAAAGCACATTTGGCTGTTAAAACTCCTCACACACTTTAATAATATTGTGTGATTATTTACAAAGAAGTTCTGCATGAAAAATGATCCATGATATGATTTCACAGAAAGAAGAAGAAAAAAAAATTAAGTGGATGGGGAAATGCAATGAAAGAGCAGTCTCTGTTCAATAACAACAAAACTATCATTGAGAAACTAAAATTTGTTTCATCTGTGGGTGTGCTCATAATGCATTCCGCAATTAAACAGTGCACGGTTACGGATACTTTTAGTTAACATTCTCAAACTAAATCAGTTCATGACATGCATTAAAACAACTTCCAATGTATTTTTAAGACCTTCAGAGATCGCAGGTAGGTATTGTCACAGGCAGTGGGGGGCGGGGGGGGTGTCAGCTGTTAACACTGACGAGTGTTAAAAGGTAGCAAACTGTAAACTTTTCAAGTCGGATCTTCAAGTGATTAAATACGAAACTGATTCGTTTAGTACGTTAGTAACAAGGCAAGTGATCGATCTGCAGCTCAGACAGGGCCAGCGCTTCACAACGGACACATTTGAGACTAGAATAATGTCAACTGACAGGAGATAAATCAAGTGAGAATTGAAGAACAGACACCGACGCCACACGATCACACGTACGACCGTCCTCCACATGACTTTACAGAATCTAAATACGCGACGGCTCCGTCTTCACTTGGTCTGCTACACACACAAACACGTGCAGTAGGGACTGGCGAGCATCAGTCAGTGCTGGAGTACATGATTACACCATGCAAATTATTTGGAAAATAAACTCTCAACATGAATCTAAACAGAATACATTTCATCACAAAGTGCTGCTCTACATTTCGCACAGCATGTCCTTCATATTTGGCTAAGTGGCATCTACACTGCGTAGTCAGACTTTTTCCAGTCATTCATACAGTAATATATATCTGAGATTATTACTTTTGGGGAGGAAGGGGGGTACTTCTGGAGGGGACAAGGTTTTTGAGTTTAAATCTGTATTTGTGTATCAGAGCCTTCTCCTTGGACAAAAAATTTTAAATAAAATCTCACAATTCTCTGCCTTAGTGCCTACAGTTATGTTTAAAATACCCTTCAATGTTAAAGGAAAGACTAGTGTAAAGGACGACAAACTACGCTGCATTATTTCCTATGATAAAAAGAAAGTGAACTATATATATGTATGTATATATATCAGTATATATACACACACACAAACATATATAATCTAATCTGGTAAAGATGTTGTATTAATATGCATGGCCCTAAAAGAATACAACCAATACAGTAGGTTGGCATTGATCAAGTTATGGTCAGGGTTTGGTTTTGCAGTTGGCTTCGGTGGCTGGCAGTGGGCAGTGAAGTGTGTCCACCCTCCCCTCATATGCTGTTGCCAGGGGACGGGTGAACAAACTGTAGGTTGATGAAGGAGAACCCTGAAAACTCAGCCTGGTCGATGTTGGCAATAACCAGCTCATCTGGTGGTGTGAGCTGGGGCTGAGTACGTGTGAAGAACTTGTCAAAGTTCTCCGCTCCTTTGCCACACTGTAAAAAGACAGACAGAAAACAGAGGTTCTCGTGTGATGCTGTGTCATAGATAGTACGCACACAGACAAATGTAGACTGGGGGAAACACAAAATACACAAATATATGCATGTGAAATAATGTAATAATAGTCATTTCTGGGACATACAACAGTAGACACTCTTCTTATCGTCACTGAACCCATTTGAATATCATTGAGAGAGAAACTGATTCAAAAAGCACAGTAACGGTACAATTCTTGACCCTCTTGTTGACTAGTTTGAGTTTTAGAACATACCCCGTGGGCACCTCGGGTCGTAGATTGGGGCTACCACGTGGGTGACCCCTGATCTACATTATTTCGCAGCTGTGGATGAACTGTTCTTCGTGGGTTTGTTGCTTTAGTAACAACATTATTATGGCTACATGACTTAGCTATGTTATATAACCACTTATTATACTGCATTTCTGCATTATATTGATGGTTTCTATTAGCATGGTGAATAAGACATGGACTTATTTATCCTTCTACACTTGTCTGAATATACAACAAAGATCCATGCAAGAACGCTCGTCAACGTAACAACATGCATTCCCGTGGAAAACTGTCCTGCAATGTGAGTGCACAGAGTTCGTTTTTCTTTTAGAATGTCATCAGTACATCAGTAACAGAAAGAAGAAAACAACCTGCGACAGAATCTCCCTGCCCTGCCATTTCTGCTCTGTGTTACTCTTAGCTATTTTTAGCCTTGCTACACACTCATGTTCATCGACACGTACTAAACTGGCATTTTCAGAATACCCAGCATAAACAATGCAAGAGACAAGGTAGAACCTAATTAATGAATCAAGTCCTTCAGGTAAAAGCTGGAAGAATACTAAATGTATTGGACACATACAAACAACAGCATAAACACGCAGGCATACAGCAGTGTCCTACTTCAGCTGGCCTTTTTTTTGTACATTCATGAAAATGATGTATGTGTAAAGATGGGTTGATAATGTGGGTCAGCATTATAGATGCCTATGGTTTCAGAGGAGGAAGTGCTGTTGAGATACACACTGATACGTAGGAAAGGTTGTTTAATTATACATTACCATGAATAGCTGCGGAAGTATATAGGGCTCAACAAACACAGATCGTCTCCCACACTCAGTGCCGTGTTGTAACAACAAATAAATATGTCATGTCAATCTTTACATGAGCTACTCTACAGGGGAGCTCCAACATGGCTGCCCGTACGCTCAGGTCATCTTTCTCCACCCAGCTCATCACTATGAGTGATCGGAAAACCAACCTTTTCTAACAAGAATACTATACTATACTAATACTACAACTTAAGAGTTTCTGCCAATCCGATACCTTGTTAGCGGTATAAAAGCTAAGGCTAAGTTATCAGATCCGATGGACTATAGTTGTTTTTTTTAACCAATATTGGACCCATCCAGTTTAATAAAAATAAAATGAATAATAATTGAGTGCCTTATTTGTCCCAAAATATGGAAATCTACAGGGTGAGTGCAGCTTAACTCACCAGTTTGGGCTTGAAAGGCGGCTGAATCTCCCTGTTTTGGAGACGCTCCCAGTCGATACGTCTGAAGAAGGCATGTTCTCTGATATCCCTCTCTCCTTCACTGCTGCAGCCCAGACGCTTGGATGGATGCTTGGTCATCAGCTGTCCACACAATGACACAAAGTGAGGACAATGTACAGTGTTGATATTTCTGCTAGTTTCTGGTGTATTATTTTACAGTAATGCTATGTTAATTCTTTAGTTTCTTATTGAGTTAAGGAGAGAAGTCATAAACCATGAAATTAGGAGTTGGATATATTGGAGTTGGTTAAATGAAATGGTAAAACTCTTTTTTAGTCCTCCTCAACAGCTGTGTGAGGAACATCGTCAGCAGAGTGATCTTTTTAACACGAGCATTGTGAAAATCAGGAAGCAGCCTGCCCCAACACCCCTAGTGGAGAAGGTTGGTCAGGGAGGGCTCTGCCAAATACCAGTGCAGAGTGAAGAGAGCAAAGTCAGGGTAAAAAAAATAGTATGAGGCAGTCTTCAGTCTACTGGAACAACACTTTTGTCACAAGGTGTTTACACGTTACAAGAGGAAAAAAGTTATAGAAGAGCACGGCACTGGAAATGAAGGGATGAGGGTGAGGATGGAGGACGTGTTGCAGGGCGTGGGAAGTGAGATAGGAAGTGGGCGGATGAGCTCTCAGATACAGCTGGACTTTAATTTAGGGCACGCAAATCTATTTGACATTTGTAAAATAATAAGTTTTAAGAGTTTGATATTTTTTATTCAACCTATGTATCTTTACTGAACACTGACTGGGGTTTTAAGAATGCAGTTAACAATTGTAACAATGATTAATCTAATCTAAAAGATAAAGTCATATAATAATAAACTTCTTGCATTGTTAGCACAGTCACCACAACAGAAAGTGAGCGGAGCATTAACATCAATATCACAAAAAGATCCCACTTGAACTGTGTAACATATTTTCATTTTGATTCCAAATTAACAAACACATAATGAGTGAAAAAGAATTTCAAGAAAAATGTGACCTTTGACCCTGTGAGGCCACTCACCCCTTTGCAGATGGACACGGCTTCCTTAGACAGAGACTTGGGATAAGCCACGTTGTGCTCCATTATGGACTGGAACAACTCATCTTCATCCTCTCCATCAAATGGAGGCTGGGGGAGACCAAAATACAACATTATTTAATTTGTATTATTTTTAATACATAACCATGATTATAATTCAAATCAAGTAATGATATCTACAGTAAATAAGGGGGCAAAAATAACCAAACAGGCATTACTAACATCAACTGTTTCTTCAACTGCCACCTTTAGATCAAACTACTGATATTTAAATGACTAATTAAACTTCAGACAGGAACACGTTTTCCCCCTATTAATCAACATGTCTACATTTACACACACATAACAGGTCCATTTATGACACACTGATAAAAATGATGGAATGATGGAACTTTTCACTGATGCTAAAGAGACAATAGGAGGATGTTGTTTGGCTAAGATAAAAGTAGCAGGTGAAAGTCAAGAGTTTGGTGACAAAGAGACATTCAGAGGTCTGATCATTTCAGAGACTGAACAACTCACCTGTCCAGCAAGCATTTCGTAGAGCAGTACTCCATATGCCCACCAGTCCACAGAGAGTCCATATGGCTGATAAGCAATGATCTGCGTAGGAGGAAAATTAGAAGAAAAATAAAAGTTTATCTCAACTGTAAAAAAAAGATTTGTTTCAGGGTCACTGCAATAACAAGTTTGGAATGAAACGCAGGAACATTGGACTAAAGAAAACAAGCTCAAGTGAATGTTGAGCATCACGTAACAATACAGCAGTCGTGAATTTGGTGAAAAGATTTTAGAAACTGCAACAGAACACTCTGCTTGGCTAAAGAAACAAAACAAGGCACAAAACTGCTGGCAGAAAACAACCATACGGTGTGTGGGCGGAAAATAGAAAACAAAGACGTGTCAGACATTATATAAGATGACCGTCGAGTCAGTGCTACAAACAACAGTTCCTACAGGACAGTGTGGTCCATGAAACCTGTAAATACTGAATACTTCTTGTTTTACATACAGAGTATTTTAATTTCATTGTTTACTTTCCATTTTTAATCATAAGAATCAATTCAAGTTTACTACAAAGATTCTCTACAGTTTTTCCAGTACGTTGGCCATGCACCAAGCCCTCCACACTTCATCTTCATTCCACACTGAATACTACACAAGGACATTTGTTACTTCCTCTCTCACACAGGCACACTGAATCGCCCATGGCCAACAAGGCAACCTCTGTTCAGGTCACAGACATCCACAGCCACAGTAACACGCTCACCATTGGACAAGAACACTTCCAGCTCCTGTCATTAATCTGTCAACAGTAGTGTTTTTATGAACACACCTGTGATCAGAGTATCAATTCCATGGTATTGATATATCAATACTATATAGTACACAGTATATAGTTGATATTTATTATTGATTACTCTCACAAAGTACCAATGTTACTACACCAGAAACTTGATTAATTTTAGTGTTTTGTCCTTTTATGATCAAGACGATGATGAAGTCAATCAAAATATATAAAAAACATGATTTTTGAGGAGGACAACTTTGTCCCTTAATGGCAGCAATGAAACTATTTAGGTTACATCGTGTAAAAATAAAGTAATGTCATTGGTTATGACTAATATTTTATGAAAAACACATATCAAATATGCACAGTATTTGGCACATGTTTTTTGGGGGGTAAAAAAAAGAAAAAACCCACAAAAATTCAAAAAGCCCATCACTAATATGCACGGAGAAGAAAACATGTTCAATTTTATTATTACTTTGAGGACCCTTAACCTTTTCATGAGAATGCCTTTTCACCAGATCACCTCACAAATAAGGTCGGCTACGTATAAATCCTTGTATAACCTTTGACAAAACACCTTCAAAATGATCCTGCAGGTGCCGCTGCGCCCCAGACCACGGACATGACAGTTTGTTTAAACTTCCCGCTGGGCGGCTGTGTGTCTGAGGCTAACGTGTTGTGACAGTGGTTCTCTGCTGCTTCTTATAGTCAGCCCAGGGAATCTCTAGGCCTCTGTATGAAGTCAGATAAATCCACTACAGGAGAAAAATATGTTTACTATATTTGTTCTTTACAGAAAGAACAGTGGCTGATGGGTAGATGTGAATGTACCAGGGAATAACCATAAACTCCATCATTCATTTATGGTCCTGCCAGGGTGGTGAGGATCAAATGTAGGACTTGTGACTGAAATCTGCAGCTTTAAAAAAAAGCCACTGGTGAGTGTGTGCACATAAGCATGTAGGCAGATGTGTGTGTGCGCGTGTGCTTGAGCGAGAGTGTACAGACATTACTTTCAAATTTGTGCCAATGCTACATGACAGTTCTGGTTCAGCCATTTAAGGCTCTTTTTTATGCTGCACACAAACACATGCTGTATTTACAACACATTTAGTCATTTAACTCTTCTATACACAAAGCATTAAAATCTGAAAATATCACGAAAGGGTTTAAGAGAACAAGATGACCACAGGAGTTCCAATGGGTGATTTCTGACACTGATATTTGCTTCTGTTCCTCCTGAGGTGTATGCATGTCAGTACACAGAAAAACTACAGCCATTTTTTGTGGGTGTCAGTTGTTACTTTTACTTTAAAAGAATACATTCGATAGCTAAATACATTCACTTGAATGGTATGCTTACAGAAGGGGTGAACTTCTACTTGTATCTGTACTTCTTCTCATGTCTTATGGTACACTCTACTCTGGATACAGTACATGCCAACCCATCACTGTAGGTGTGGCCTGACTCACCTCCGGGGCTATGTAGTCAGGCGTGCCACAGAATGTGCGAGTGGTCACCCCGTCTGACATATTCTCTTTACACATGCCAAAGTCTGCGATCTTAATGTGTCCCTCAGAGTCCAGCATCACATTGTCCAACTTTAAATCCCTGAGGAAGCAAACGGAGTTTTAAAGCATCTTTGGATTTGCCCACTTTTCCACTTCCAAAGCAGACTGTGTGAAGTACCAAGTACTCACCTGTAGATGATTCCTCTTTTGTGTAGAAAGAAGAGGCCAACAGCAATCTCTGCTGCATAAAACCTGTGAGAAAAGAATAGAAACCTCAATATAGACAAAAAACTTGTGAAAACATTCACTAGCAGACACAACCTGTATAGAACTAGTGTATCTTACACTGCCTGGGGTTCCTTGAATTTGCCCACTTGTTGAATATGATACATAAGATCTCCTCCATTCACGTACTCCATAACAAAGTAGAGACGATCCTACGGTCCCACAAAGAAATATCAGAGAAATATTAAGAAAAAGGGGAACAAAAAGAATGTACAAAATTACTCTGGAATAACCACAGTGTAGCTGAGGGTTAATCAGAATTAGTTGTAAATGTGATCTTAGCTACAAAAGATAAATCAGATAAGATAAATCAACCTATCCTAAATATTACATTTTCAATACAATTCATTTCACACATTAATTATTCCACATTTTTTCAGTTTTTTGTTGTTGCACTTTCCATGACAAGGTGACCTAAAAAGCCAGGCGACTCAACGAGCGTCTGGGAATACTGTCTCTATAATCCAGACAGTTGTAGTCTGGTGGAGCAGAGGTGTGGCCTAACCAATGTCTGGCTGGTTTTCTGGGTTGTTACATTCCATTAGCAGCTTTTTAGTCAAACAATCCACACTGAACAGACAACCTAATATAATAGGATCAGAATTGTCCTTCATTTCTACTGTTTTATACTAAAGTCTAGAAAACCTTTAAAAACAGAGAAAACAAATGTGAACTGAAGTCTGTTTTTGGAACCTGGTACCAAGTACTTCAGTAGCTTTCGTACGACTCAGATCAGTACTAGTACTTGAAGAGACACAAAACAATATTCTGATTTCCTTATAGTATGTGTTCAGTATTATGTTGGCCGTACAGTACATGTCTCCTTTTGCTCACCTCACCCCTCAGTAGGCCCTGACTTCTGCCCGATCAATAAAACAGACAAGAAGCTATTTTAGTCTGGAAGAGAGTTCCAGGTCAGTAGGACTTTTACCTACCACAGTCTGAAAACAAGAGTGGAGGTGTGTGAGGAATGGTGGCTTGCCCTGCAGGGCCAGGACTCTCTTCTCCACCATGGTACACTCCACATCATCGTCCTGAATCACCACGTCCTTCTTTAGGATCTTGATTGCGTAGAGCTCTGCGCTGCCCTTCATCTCAGCCAACATGACCTTTGAACAAAAACAAAGGGAGGGGGCCATATATTATTATTGGATAATTTACATCATTCAGTCATAAAAAACAAATTTCAGCTCTGCTTCTTCACCTTTCCAAAACTGCCTTTTCCCAGCACTGCCAAAAAGGAGAAGTCACTGAGTTTGACTTGGTCCAAGCTGGTGGAGGGTAGCTTGGAGCGGGCATCATCTGTCACGTCATTTACCTTCTTACCCGGGCCCAGCTTTGCCTTCTGCACTCAGAGCAAAACAAAAGACAGTGTAAGAAACCGCAGATGGAAAATGGACCAATGAAAAGGGAATTAATACAGAAGCAGAACCACTGGAAAACCATTTTAGTGTTTTTGTTGTATTAAAAAAATCATTAAATGGTAGCTTCTGGACACTATTCTACAAATGTACTAATACTTTCATTTAGGGACAGCTCAACACATACATAAGTAAACAAAATAGTGAAGTGAGATTACACTTCAACACCACAGTGGAACCGATACAGCAGGAACAAATGAAAATGTCTATAAGTTAAAGTAATTCAACCAAATAAAATAGAAATAAAATAAAGGCTGCTTCAAACATCTTCAACCCTGGTGAAGACACTGTGGAAATTACCCAATAATCATTCCTCTTCAAAAAGGAACTCTGTGTAAATGCCCAAAGAAAAGTATTTCTCATGCATTAACAGACTAACGTCTCTGACACCAGTTCAAGTGTGATTCCAAATGTCTTTTGCTGAGACCCTGAGAAGATGAGGAGGAAAAAAGGCTGTCTAGAATTGTCCTTGTGTATTTATTGGTACTAGTTAAACCAACACTGATTTAACAAATGAAAACAGGTTTTTGTTTGATCCGATATCTAAGTCCAAAGGCTCAACTAAACCAAACAGGGAGACTATCGCAGATGTTACAAGTTTCAGTATCGGTATCAGACATGAAAACGTTGCATTGAGACGTCTTTAATAAAGAGCTGAGAGAATCAAACTAACACTAATGAACCACACTCATATATTAGAGAAGAGAACATATTCACTTATAAAAATTCGATTTTAGAGATATAGCTAGAGAATTTCCTTACTGGAACCATCTGTCATCTTTATAGTGTTGTTATTATTATTACTATGACTGTGTTTTTCATATTGCACTGTGTTACCATACAGCTCTGTTATTGAATGCCTGTAAACTCCTGTCTGTAATAGCCTTTGTTTCTCCACATCAACTTTATGGGCATCGCGTTTTTCCTCACGTCAAAGTCGCTGTCCTCAGTGTCCCAGGGGAAAGATGCTTCAAGGTGTTTTAAAACACAAGTATGTGATGTTCAAATATACACATTCTGATGCAGCCTGAGTATTGAACAGTGACAAGAAAACTCTGTTCACTCTTTGTTTGTCCACACAACAAAACACACAGCACTGACACACTGGGTAAAGACCAAAGAACAGAGTCAGAGTCAGAGTCATGCTGTAACCCAACACCATGAGCATCAACCACTTCAATGAGCCACAAAAATGTTGTTTAGTTTAAAATGATATGATTCAAACAAATGCAAGTGAATGTTAATATTTCTTACTGTCCCTGTGAACAGAATGTCATTGGTAACTCTCCTTATCTCCGCCTGCCACCCATGGTAACTAAAGTCAATATCGACTAACCCTGAAAACAGTTGTTCACAATATAAAGACAAGGTTTTGGGAGTAGTATAGTTTGACAAATGTCTCTTTTCTTAATAATTACATCCTGAACCTTAAACCTAGGTTCTAACATTTTCTTCCCGAACAAAACTGGGACGTTTTTGTTTTCATGAAAGACATCTCTCCGTCTCTATGGTGGAGAGCAGCAGCCTAAGACCACACAGAGCAGACGGCAACCAACCACAGCACACCTGTGAGCTTTAGCCAATAACAAGTGCCTGGCTGAGCCGAGCGAGCAGCTGCCTTACTGCCTTCCTTCCTGTCAGACGCACCTGTTCAGAGTCTTCCACAACTCTTTGGTCCTGAAACCACAGGGAAAAGGAAGCCAAAGACCCTGATTCATGTGGCACACGTTGATGACAGTGCACACACAAGAAGGGCGAGTGCATCGGATACACACATGAAAACAGAAGAGGGATTCCCTCAGTTCATTAGGAGCAGCTTTGTTGTATCTGCCTTCAGTGTAAGTTCAAATCTATGAACCGGGCAGAAACATCTCAAAAAGAATATAAAACTCAAAGTACATGGCAGGTAACAAATACACACCCAAGATGACCCCCCCCCCCCCCCCCCCCGACACACACATACAATAACCCTAACCATTTGTACATGGCATAACATATCTATGCCTAATCTGGAGCCTTACCTTTACTCTAACTTGACGCTAATTCTATACTTTTTTAATACAATACAATCACTGAAAAGGTGCCCGCAGGAACAATGTCCCACAACAGTGGTATTAGTCTGAAGTTTTTCCATTGTTTTAACCAACAGTGACACCCAGTGGTCAGTGGTGAGTAGGAGAGCAGAGGAGAGGAGGAACTGCTTCCGTTTAACAGCTTAAAAACTTTTGATCATTTTGATGGTGAATCTTCTAGAAAGGTTTGTGTGAAATTTAAAAAATAATTTACATGTAACCTTAAACCTTAGAAGGAACAAGTTGACCAATAAGTATTAAAACCATCTGCAAAAACCTCCCAGTGTACATTGATCCGTGTCTTCTGTTCACCACAAAGACCACAGTGTCATAAAGTCAAAGTGGTGGTTATTAGATTCTTACCTCAAATTTCTGCCTCAGTTCCTCATTACCATCATCCTCCTCCGAGATTGGAACATTGTAGTATTCCCCTTCCTCCTGGCACAACAGCTTATACCTAAGAGGGTGTAACAGGGAGGTGGGAGAGGGGGAGAAAAAAAGGGAGAGAGGAGAAAAAACACAGATAAACACATAGAGACCTGCAATGGAATAAATGAAATATAGTTTATATGTCCCTCAGTCTTAGATGTGAACAAATCTCTTTGACCTGTTTGGTATGTGTCAGGCTGCTCTGATGTGTACTGTACTATACTGCACTGTATTGTACTATAGGAGTAGTTTCAGAGTCTAACGATACAGTGTGGTAGTAATTCTACTAATTAGGATTTATAAACCAGTGCAGGTTATTAAAATTCACTGCCAAAAATTCATAAAAATGTTTTTTTTTTAAATAATAAAACAGAACAGTGTTTGTTTGATGACATTTCACTATAGAAAGTAACATGATATACTGTATACTGTGACAAATAATGTCAGCGACCTTTGGTAATACTACCAGAAGAACAAAAGTAATAATACCAGCCACAGGCGGGGGACTTCATCAGCTCTGACACGCCAAAAGAAATGGCTCCCATGAAGTCATTTCTGGTGGTCCGGTCCCAGTCCCACACCTCCACTAACAGTCTGCGGTCCTTGTCTGTAGGCTTCAGCTTACTGAATGACACAGAGATGTATAGGTCAATAAAATGTGTCGTTTGTCAGCAATGTGTTTTGTCATTATGGTAACTTGGAAAATAATTTACCATAACAATCATAAAAGATCAATATTTACACTGATGTAGGATGGTGATAACATTCAAGGAACTCACAAAGTAAAAGTCTCGTTCCACTTGGGGTTGAGGTTGGAGCGGATTGTTTTGGTCTTTTGCTTGGTCTCATTTTTGGGGTCTGGTATGAGCTTCAGCTTGACGTATGGATCAGACAGGCCGTTGGGGTCCATGGGGATCAGGTTCTTGCCTTCAGCAACTAAAGTAGGTAAGGAATACAAAAACGTACATTCAGTACCAAATAAGCTATACATGTAGAAATTTGATTTTATAGTGAATCTTATTGTCAAGCAAAATTACAATCATTTTAAGCACCACTTAATGATGTGCAGCTGAATTTAAACATATTCTTGATGTTTTTGTTTGTTTGTTGTTGGGGTTTTTTCAACTCTCAATTCCACTTCAGTTTCTATCATTGACCATTGAAGAAGAAAGTCAAACTCTGGTGATTCTGCTATGACTCTATAGAAAAGAGAAGAATTCACAGGGACATGAACATGTGTGCTACTGCTATTTTATTAACATGATTTCATTCTTTAATGTTTGGAGTAACATTTGTGGGTGTAGTTCAAACTGCCCTAACTATAAAACGCTGTTCAACATTAAGCGTTTACTTAAATAAAACGAATGCCTGTAACTGTGATTCCCTTAAAGGCCACTAGATGGAAATACTTGACTGTCGCTGGATAAGTCTCAAGCTTCTCCATAACTTAATTCTCGAGGCCCCTCAACCACAGACCCCGGACTGTTAGCAGACTGTGAGCCGTTCGTAACCGGATCACACAAAGATTTAAATCACGTCTTTATTGGTCATCTTTCAGCTGCGCGTGGTCTGGCCAATCCGCAATCATTTTAATTTGCGAAATTAAGGCTGGCGAATCACAACACGAATAAATAAATCACAAAGCTACAGTATGTCAACCTACAACTGTTTTTATGTTATGGTAAAGCAGGTAAATCGTTTTTAACGTCTGTTTTAAAATACATATAAAGATAGAACAATAAGACACCGAGACAAAACTAGTTTGAACAACACAGCCCTAAGACTCAAACCAAACAATCGAACAAACAGTCTTGGACAAAAATGAACGTAGTCTTTCATTGTCAATGTTAAAAACAAATTGTCTTTCTAAATACTTTCAGAAAAAAGGTAAAGGTCCACAGAGGATGAACCCTTCATTAAAAAAAAAATAAAAAAAATAAAAAAGGTTTATACAAACAGAGGGCAACAATGGATGACAGTAAGGAACATTCCAGGCTCAGGTCCACTCTGTCCACAACCCTGGCATCATAAAGACACTAGTATGAGAGTACCTGGCATTACTACTGTAGTTATGTTAATTCAGTATAACTTGATAGTATAACTATCCTGACAGTGAAACATATGGCACTAAATGGTTGGGGAGAGAGAAGAAGGTCGAATAGAATAGAATAGAATTCACCTGTGCATGATGGGTGGGGAAAAAATCTAAAGGTTAAATATAACTTATAGTAGAGAAAAACAAACACATGATCAAATATGAAGACAGACTTGCAGTCAAAGGAAGAACAGGGTTTGTCAATATGTGTGTGTCTGCTTAGACAGAAGTAAAGACGGTAAGAAAACAGTGTTTTAAATCAAATCTGTCATGTGGTTTGTATAACTATGAATAAAATTAATATAAAATGTATTATGACCGTCAAACAATTCACATTTTATTAGTCAAGGTGATAAGTTGTTTTTAATTTGTGACTAATCCACACAATGGAATTATTAATATGGAAATATGTCCTGATGTCAACTCAAAGTTTAGCTTCATAGAGTTGGTGAACTGTAGTCATTACTGGGCATTTTAACAGTGGCTTTTACCAAGTGTTGATAGTTTGGTTGAAGCTGTTGTCCTCAACATTATTCATCAGTCCACCGTACAGTCTCTCACAATATATTTGAGACTAGTGTGTGTGTATTTATATAAATAAATAAGTTATAAGGAGGCAGAATCATGTTCCAAAAAGCCAAGAATGACACGTGACTGAGCACAGCAGTGAGGACGGCCTGGGAATACAAATGAATTGACTTCTGGGAGTCTAGCAACAGAAACTACACAGCAACAAAGTGCAGCTATTTTATCAACTCCTCAGAGACAGCGGCACAACCAAAGGCTAGGGGAAAAGCCAAGTTCAGTTATGGGGAAGAAACTGAATAATGTATGAAAGTTGATGGCTGATCTTGAGATTTCAAAGATGTCAAAGTCTGTATTGACTGCTGGTGCTTGTTAATGCTGGCTTGTAGTTTCATCACAGATTTCCTTTAGTTTGTGAACTTGTTAAATCTAACCACATCAGAAACCACTGAACACAAAACAGTGGGTATTTTGGGAACATTTGCCTCAGATGAGTACTTTTTAAAATGGAAGTCACCAGGGTACACTCAGGAAACCTCAGGGAACAAAATGGATTATTATTATTATTATTATTATTATTTATCATCAATTGTCCTGCACCGTGCAGCACGTAAGCTGTAAGCGTTGGATTGTCAAATTTCCGATGCTACTTAAACACACCTCGTGTGACCACTGCAACTTAGTGCTGAAACCATGTTTGTTAATATTGTTCTTATGTTAAACGAATGTAATAATTATATATGCACCAGTTTTTTGACCGACTGATCAACCAGCACTGATTTAGTTAATTCTGCAGGATTGGCGATCAGCCAATTCATAATAACCTGTGGGCTGCAGAACATCAATTGAAAAAAATCTGAATTGTCAAAAAACATTATCGGCAAATCACACTTTCAATCAATGCACCTCTGGTAATAATTATTGAATAGTGAATAAAAGTAAGAAAATACATTCTGAAAGTTGAAGTTTAAGGTTAACATATTTTGTATCATTGTCTGTAGGTTTACAAAGACAGTGTAATGTTGTGCAATCCACTGTGACTGGATCAATTTACAGGACTTTACAAACAATGTCTCCTCTCCAGCCGACAGTCGTCTACCCTGAAGTTGACTCTACCTCAGAAATTCAGGTCATATGTGTTTGCTTTTCACCTCCCTGTGTAAATATAGACTCAAACCTTAACTCTCCACCCTCTCAGTGCAACTCTGTGCTGCACAAATGGTCCATTACTCAAATTTAAACTTTGGCTAGCAGAGCTATCTACTGTACTGGAGTAAAACTGCAATATTTAAAGTGATCAGCTCAGGGTGAGACCAGATTCCTTTAAGAACAACTAAAACTCATAGAACAAGCGCAGCATATTGTGATCCACTGTTCATATTCTGCCTCTTTTTTCAACTTGTACAATTTCAGACAATTTGAAAATAAAGAATGCATTGCTACTAAATACAAAGATCACTTGTTGGCACCACTTCTTCTGCAGGGGCTGTCCACCGCTCCTTTGAAACTCTTGATTATTTAGTAAATGAAATGAGCGTAGTAGTAGCTATATTTTGGCAGACACTCGTTGGCTTTTCTGCAGGATGACTCAGCCACATAGAAATGTTAATTAACTAATGGGAAGGCTGCAGATAGTCTGGGGTATTTAGACCACTGAGCAATAATCGATAATTAGAAAAACTCTCTGGGAGTTTATGCATGAAAATTCAAATATATCATTATTTTATAATCATCGACTTAATGTCCTTTGCATTAAAACCTTAGAGCTGGGGGTATGCCAACATTTTATTAATAATTTACCACAGGAAGATATTGTGATTACTAATGAGCAACCAAAAAATATCTGTATTACAAAACTCAACAAAGAGAATCCAGTGAATTAGGTCCAGGTTTTATAAAGCAGCGAAGGAAAACGTGAACAAAACAATTTTATACATCAATGTAGCACAGATAAAAGATGACGAGACCCCCTCCTTTTAGTAGTATTTCTCTGTTAAATCAATTGTCTGATTGCTGCTGTGTTTTGTGTCTTACGTTTAATTATTTGACTTTTTTTTTAGTTCCCCTGATCCGCCCCCATCTACAGTCAACAGTTTCTTATTCTGAAGTGCCATCCGACCTTCCCACACACCTACATATTAAAACCACAGTAACATTAACATAACAAGCAGCAGAGGCTGCTGCACTGAGGCAAGAAGAAAATCAACCAGGAAGTCAGGAGCAGAGATAATAGGATAGGACTAAAAGAAGGGAATTAATTAAAGGTTCCACAGAATTAAGAGAGCTGACTGGAGGGAATTAGACAGAAGTTCTCCAACGACCTCACACGTACTATCAAAAGATCTGTTTTATAGGTGATCACAAGTGGTGATAAAGAAATGTTTTATGTATGTGACGACTCTGTGTGTTAACAGGCAGCCGTCAACAGGCGTGTTCAACAGACACTCTACTGCTAAATAATGAGGGCATCATCCGCAGCACAGAAACACAGAGCAGTATTGTGCAGAATGGTAAGTTGGTTTTGACCCCAACTCCAGCAAAAACAAGACGTTGTTTTGTGTCCATCAGCGCCTCCCCGTCCCACATCACCTCAGCTGACAAAAGGACATATTCTCCAAACTGATATTTCGGGAAACTGCACAAATTTACCCCAGTGTTTGTGAGTGACTTCTTTATGTGTTTATCTGCATCTGCGGTCAGAACGTTTTTTCCATGTCTTCAGTGATCTGGTTGCAATTCGTCTGCCTGTTGTCAACCGTTACGTTTTGTGGTATTCCAGGGAAATACATTTTTTTCTGACGCACAGGAGACATTTATTCTGAAAATCATGCACAATAAAATGTTTTGCGTGTAAAAAAATATGTGTGTACTGTAGCTCTGACTGCCGTCTAAGGTACTGTGCTGATAAAAATTAAAGTTAAAATTAAATAAAGGTAACGGCTAAATGATATAAACTTGCTGAAAGTTACTGAATGAGTGACAGCGACCAATGTTCAATATAAAAAACCCAGATATTTTAGACAACGTAGTTTTTTGCTCTGTAGTATTAATATTTTCTAATACTGCAGAGCAAAAAGCTGGTAGTTTCCCCTCATTCTTTATCAGTGCTTTAATAACTGATAAAAACAAGGGTTACAATCCTTTCACTACATCATCTCCTATTGTTTTGTCCTGTAGTAATACATAGAATAAATGTCAACAGCATCTTGTTTAATTGCATCCACACAGCGTCCGGGTGAACAATGCTTTATGTTTTACTTCATTTTTTTATTTTACAAAGGCGATCCAGCCTTATCAGAAAACTCGGAGGCAGTCGTGACTGTTGTACAGAGGTAACAGCACAGGGCCCACACAGCAGATCACACACCACTGCACCAATACAGCTTTGACTGTGCTTCTCTTCCAAACGTGTTGTAACTGTGAACTGCTACTTCAGGTAAAATGTTCAACAGCAGAGCCATGTAGAAGAAGAAGTCTTTGCTACATACTGATAGTCAGAAGTCAAGTGAAGCAGTTAGCAGCAGGATTCAGTGACTACGGAACAAGTGGAGTGGAGTCGTGGCACAGTTTAATGACGACAGAGAATAAAGAGAAACATTTAAAAGCCAGGGACCAGAGGGAACAGTGATGACACTGATCCAGGCTCACAGACCGAATGAAAAAAACAGCAGCAGAAACACTGACATACACAGACATACACGCATTCAAGCCTTGTGCACACACACACACACACACACGCACACACACACACAGAGTCCATCAAACACAATGAATATTTCAACACATGCTCAAACAAAGGAAGGAAAACCTACCGGTGACCTGCAGCATTTCGGCGCTGACCTCACACTTGAGGAAAAGACGTCCCCTCCTTTCAGTGTAATCAGTTCCACAAAGGCTGGGAACATTCATCACACACTGCTTATGGACATTCATTTCACAGGCTGCAGGAAGAGCAGATAAAAGACTTCAGGAGAACAAGTGGGTTTAGATCAATGGAACACAAACCAGGCTTTTTATGGAACTCACTGTTGCTGGCAAATCCTAATGTAATACTCTTTACTCAGGTTAAGATTTTTTAACCCCATATCTTTAGAAAAACAAACTATTTAATGTAGAAAAAAATGCCTAATCAATGTCATACTTCAACAAAGTCAAATATTTGCCTCCTCAAAATATGGTTGTGTAATGAGCGTTAAAAGTTGACGGTCACCCATGTTGACACAAGGCTGGTTGAAACCTAAATAAGAGGTGACACCGGGGTATGACGCTGACTACTGGCACAGTTATGTCATATATTCTGCTGAATAAGCAAGTCATAATTACTGCTGTTGGTCTGTCAAAATAATTGCTACTCTTCATAATTTGTATGTAGAGCTCGTAGCAGTTATTAGGAATGTCCTGTGGCCTACGGTAAAGGTATATTTTGCTATCATTTAGCTAAATCTTAGCTAAATGTTTTTTTTTTTTTAGTTTTTCTAAAGAGCAGCCAACACCTTAACAACTTGTTACAAGCTACGTCTGATGCTGGACTTCCAAGTGTGCGTTGTGCTGCTCACACTGTCCATTTTTAAACATTCTTTTTTACGCCTACTCCTGCCTCCAAAACATCCAGTTACAGGTCAGTCATCCGATAAAGAGACTTCAGTAAGAAGTACAAACTCCCTGGAACAGCAGAGTTCATCCAGAGACTGAACGATACAGTCCCTGGGTGAACAGTCACTAATATGATCTCCCAGGAGAAACTCAGAGCTAACCACTTGGCACTGTGTGGGAAAAAAACCCCAAAAGACGATCATGTTCCTGCTTCGTTCCCTCACCGTGGTATAGACCGAGCTCACCTACACTGTGTTCTGACACCTGGATAATAATGATTTCTAGTTCACTGCATATTATTATTTATTAAAACCCAATCAAAACAGTATTGGTTTTACTAAAAAAACATTTTTTCCCAGCAGAGTACAGCAGGTTATGGTCTGCTATACATATTATTATATATTACTGTGATTATTCAAGGAGTCAAGAATAATCTCTATCTGTAAAAGCCTGAAGCTAAAGTCACTGCTGAGTGTTTTTCACCTTTCAGGCCTTTGGCTTCACTGAATTGGAATCCTAAATCCTACTGATGAAAAAAAGATTTAAAAAATATGATAAAATAAACAACCATCCAGACTATTATTATTAAAATGACTAAAAGCCATATTGTGCCATTATTGTACCATTAAAGCAGAGATGGTATTGGCCACTATATGATACTCACAGTCACATTTCATGCCCTGGTGAAGCATTCCATAAAGCAGTGAGCCACAGTGGTCACAGAAGGTGGGGCTTCCATAGGTGTGGATCTTGAACTTGTGTTTTGTTCTTGGATCCTGCAGGATTCAATAAAAAAGGAATCATTAAAAATAAATACAAATGCAGAAACAAATTATATTTTTAATTTGAATGATACTTAAAGAACAAACAGGATGTCGACGTTGTTTCTTCACATAATATTTGAAAGTCAAATCCTGGTCACACATGACTCAGTTTCTCCTGTTGCCTTCAAGAACTTAACGACTCCTTTTTTTCTCCTGTTTCTCCTGTTGCCTTCAAGAACTTAAAGGCTGCTCAGAGAACTTCATTCTATGAAGGACTAACCCTTTGGCCAAGAACTTTAGTGTTTATTTTATTGTAAGATTTTGTTGTGACATTTACACATCACAACAGTGTGATGTACATGACGCCGAATAGACTATTTTCCTCTTATACATCAACTGTATTCATTTACAGTGCAGCTGTGGCTCCATAGGAAGAGTGGGTTCTTTGTAGTGTAGATGGTGTTTCCCACGTAATGCTTCTGGCTGCTGTGTAAACAAAATACTCTATGCTAGCTTTATGCTCAGTGTAAATGCCCTATTTGTTTACGTCAGTGGGTCAAAGGCCAAGCTGTTTGGTGGAGCAGTATTTTGGAACATGAGCAGTTGGAGCTTCTTGTACTGTATGGACTTTACTTCACAGCTGTCATTTGACAGTATCACTCGTTGATAAATTGATTATGTGACTGGGTTTCTGTTTGCCCTATAAGTACACATAGCTCTAGGGCTACTGCTGCAGGAACCCATCTATGTTCTAGGGATCTTGTTTTCATTTGGCTAATGCCTGCAGAGGCTAACACATGTACATGGAATAAGAAACATTTAGTGGTGTCTTTGCTTCCAACTGTCATTCACTGCAATGAAGAAAAGCCCCAGGTTTTCTTCATTGCAAATACATACAAATCCATCAGTTGTATCACAGACATGATACATTATATAATTTATATAATATATAATTTCTGATGTATTTTATTTTTTAATAGTAGAAGAATACAGGGTGGCTGACATTTACATTGTTTTTACATGATCTTACTTGGTTTGCTTTGAAGGCAGCTGATTCAAAATATAACCAACCACAACATGTAACTTTAGGCTTGTTTCTGAATGCACTGCATAGTTAAATACAGGCTCCATTTATTTATTCTATTTTTTTTTCTCCTTGAAGTTCGTTCCCCTGTTCCTCTTTTTCACTTGTTTATAAATTGCCTGTAACCACTTTACACTGTTTTTGTCTGCAGCGAAGCAGAAGGAAAACCTTTCAAACATAAAAACAATGTTAAATCGTAAAAATCTAAAACTTCCACTGACGTTGTACCTCCTCTGACAGAAAGTTAATCAACCTACATTTTTACTAAAGTCCAATTTTAATGCCATACTACTGCACATCACACAACTCACTCGATGACTTCTGGGCTCCACTGCGGACAGTCAGCGCTGCACAGAGACAGCGGACCATAAGAAGAGAAAGGGTGTGCCAGCTGCACCTACTCTTGTCCTCCCACACACAGACCAATGATCCTACACACTGTATATCCATCACCCTCCACTCCCACCCTGTATTCCCAGCATCTATCAACTCAATGAGTCAATAGTTCTGCAGTTTTATTGTACAATAAAACAATAAATTGTAGTTTTATTGTCCTTGTTGTTTTGTTTTTTAACAGGAGCACATCTTCAGGTGATCACAAGTTGGAATATTTTAGACCTTTACTAATGAATAAAGGGAGAGGAGGAACAAATCATGATATAAATTACGCTTTTGGCTCTTGTTTTAAATAATCAGAGACATTTGATATTAAACTAAATTATCTCTAAATTGGATTTTTATTTCTGCAGGGATTTGTCATAATACCGTACATTCACTTTCAACAACAATTCCAGCAACTGCAAGGCAAACGGCAACTATGAGCAGAAAAACCTGTAGCTGTAGTTGATTTGTAAGTCCCAGTTCAACCATCTAGGTAAAGATTTACTTAAATGAGTTGTTATGTGCAGATAATGAGACCAGTAACTGAGCTTTGACATGGTCACACCACAGAGAACACTAGGCTGTCCATTAACACATCCTCTGAGCAAAGTGATGGCAGGAAGAGTTCACCCCGTGGCCTGGATCTCCTGTTAGCAGGCTCACCAGGTCTTAATAGGAAATTCAAGACAGACTGTGTGGCACTGCTCCTCCAGAACAGGCAGACTGCAAAGCCTCAAAGAGTGGTGAGCCCTGGCTGTGGTATTTACACTCATTCCAAAAGATGCTATCACCCATGGATAGAGACAAGTGCTGGTGTTCACAAGTAGCATTAGCATGGATCAGGGATTTATTTCCTGTGACCTAGTATAATCTGGTCTGACCGTTCTCCTGCTTGCTTTGAAAAAACATTTCGACTTTTGACGTGTGTGTGTGTGTGTGTTGACAGCTACAAATAAAAATACAGATAATGGCTGCTACGTAGGGAAGCTGTGAGACTGCAGTGTCTCAGGGAACATTAGCAGAGAAGGCAGGTTATAATCAGTCCTTAGGGAGCGCTGTGTTCATGCATCATTGAACAACCTCTGATTGTCTTTTGTAATGGGATCTGAGGGAACATTTAGGAACAATTCAGAATACCCAGACCTGTAACAGTGCTGTTCACATATGATTGGATCATTTGAAAGCGGTGTCCTCCTTGTTCAGTCACACAGGGCTAAATGGTTTCACCGTTAGGTGTTTTTAGACTGAATGGCTTAATATTTCAATATACAATTCCACTACTAATATCCCAGGAAATACAGAGGGATGGAGGTGTATGGAATTATTCGTAAGGCACATACGCTTTGGCTGAGCAAATGTGAAAATAATGGTATGGATAATATCTCGTTACCTAAGGTCATCTTATCCAGATCAGTAACTGGACTGTGGTTTGAAGACAATATGGAAAATATCTCTCTTTCCAAATTAGGGCATTAACAGTCAAAATAAACCAAAAATGGGAAATATAAAAGCAGATAAATGTACTAACCTATGTTCACATAACAATGTGATATCCTGGCTGCAGAACTGATCCCTGCCTCTGTGAGTCTTAGTAAGAGTTCACACTGTGATCACATGATAATTTATACAACCTTTTTAATAGAACTTGAATCCTTAAATGTATTTTCGGAATTTGTCTGGATCACAGGTTAAAAAACAAACATGTCTGTAGACTGGTTAAAAGACTAGAGGCAACCCACACACAGTGATGAAGACAGGAGCACAGGGGTCAGTACACACACGCTAGCTAATTAGCCAGACTCTCCAGCCCAGTCTAATTAGCAAGCAGAATGCCAACTAGCCCTTGTTAATGAGGAGCTTTGGTCGTGTGCTGCTTCCCAGCAGAGTTGTGATGCAGTGGCAGATAATGTTGGTAATGTTGGTTATCAACACTGCACTGAAGAGCAGTGGCTGCTCCACCGTTAGATCCTAATGGCAAAACAGCTAATGAATGTGGACAACTACATGGTTTAAAGAACCAGGATTAGTCAGTTAAGGAAATTAAAGGTTAGTTAATAGGTTTGTCTGGAGACAGCAGATCAACACTGGTACAGCACAGCCAGAGTAAAGAACTTTTTTAAAGAGTATATTTGTTTTCTTTTAAACATGACTCTAATTAAACAATTTCTTATTTATTAAATAATTGAAAAAAAAGAAAAACTACAACTAAAGGAAAAAGTTAAATTTCTGATAATGTCTAATACCGTCATAAATATTTGCATATTCATCATTTTCTCAGAAATGAGAAAAATGAAAGAAAAAGAATATTTCTCATTAGCATATTATATTTTCTCCTAGGTGTACCTAAGTAAAACTATGTTAGCACAATAATGCAATTTTATTAAAATTTAAAGACAGCGGCAACGCCTCCGCCAACATTACAGTAATAAAACTACAACAAACCTCCCCATGAACATGCAGATCAAACACCACCCTTCCTGACTCTTCTAAGAAGAATATGAAATCACCAAATCCTCAGTTGTGAGCTTGATGTTTGTTTATGGAAAACCTCCGCAAATGACCACAATTCGTCCATCAAGATTACATCCTCATAAAGAATGAGTAGACCAGCATTAGGAGAAACATTTTACCCAAGGAAATTGTCTTTGTTAGCCTTTGTTACCAAGGTGAGAAGAGAATCTGATGAAAACCAAATGATGCTATCACTTATCGAGTATTGAGGTATTAGGCTCAGAAAGGTCCCTATTTTTAGCACACAAATCACCACCCTGATTCCCCTTGGCCTTTCACTAAGCTGCTGAGTGCTGAGAGTGAGGGCAGGTTGCCGCTGCAGCACACAGGGGTTTTCCCTTGCTGTGCGTTATCCTTTAACATCTGTCTGGTAGCAGAGCCAAGAAATAATAGGTGACATTTTTAATCAGTGGCACGGCCAAAGTTGTTTATCTGACTTGTGAAATGCCATCTCTCTTGACACTTGGTTTGTCACGCATGATACCATTCATATGAGTGTAAAAAGTAAGGACTTTTTCTCATTTTTTGAGTCTGTTTTTTATGCCTTTGTAATTCAGATAAATACATATAGATGTATAAAACACTTCCTAATCAAAGACTGACCGAAAATATGACAGAAAATCTTTGTTCAAAATCTGAAATCTGTTGTTTTCACATGGTTACAGAAAAACTAAGCAGAGCGCAGAGGTGTAAATCCCTGCCCATTAGCATAGTCACACACAGACGTGAAGTGTTATACACAGTGTCAGGAGAGGACGAGGCACGGAGACAGTCATGACTGTCACTTTAGCTGGGAGGCCATCTCCACCAATCAATGATGTTTCCACAGAACAGAACCTTGGGAAATTTTCAGACCTATTAATCCAAATGTGCTCATTCTCCTTTAACAAGGGGAAAACATGTAAATATCACTTCTGTAGGAACTGTGTTTTATATAAAGCTTAGTTGAGTTTTAAAGAAATAGCTGTGTGCGTTGTGTCAAAGCCGGGGGGTCAGGAACTCATCGTCAGGAACTCATCATTTGCTTTAGCTACAACAAGGAGGCCCTGCAGTAAAGAACACTGGGTTAGGTGAAATATATACATATATACGTGTGTGTCTGTGTGTTTTTTGCCACTGTCAGTGTTTTTCAGTACCTGTCTTTTATCAACAGTTGATGTTCTGTGTGATGCCCATAAACTGTATTTACGATATCATTGGAACAGTTCTATGAACAACTGCTAACCAGCTAACTATCTGTTTGTTTATTTTTTTTAGCAATAACGTGCTAAGCTGAAGACTGACTACTGGTTCAGACTAAGGTGCAGCTGATGGGCTGCTGCTCTGCTACTCTGTCTACTAGCACCAATGCTAACGTTTGCCTCGCCGTCGTTTTTCAGGCGATGGGGGAAGCGGGTGACGTGACGTCCTCTTCTCTCCCTGCCTGGCTATAGGTGTGTGTGTTCATGTGTTTGTTTGTTTGTGTGTACATCAATACAAAGCTCCGCCCCCCCGGGAGGAGAGGAGAGGCGTAGACACTCAACAGAAAATGAAATGAAATATCTTTGCTGAAATTAGATCGGTAACATCATTATTTATTAAACGAACACAGTCCAGATTTGTTCTATAGGAAAAAATGACCTCAAATGGGTCCTGTTTGGAGGGAAGTGCGCCCCCTGCCTCTTCCCCTCCCCCCCTCAATATAATGGGAGGGGAAACACTGCAACCATAACATTATGGAATCATTAGCAGAAGCAGCATGGCTCTGAACACGTTGAGTCAGTGACCTTACACACATCCCCATTAGGTGTGAGCATACACTGTGATGTCAGTGCAGTGCAGTGTGTGCAACCTCCTTACATCGTCACCATTCAACATAGTCACTCCTCACACAGGTCAGTGGCTGAACGCTCCAAGGCCAAACATGCAAACAACAGCTTTTTTAAACAACCTCATGGCGACACCAGACCTGTTTTAAAGAATTGACCATCAACCTCACCTCTAGGAAAAAAGAATTAACACACACAAAGGCTTCATTTGCTGTGACAGAGCCAACACGCCTGCGGCACACATGATGTAATTATGCTCTTCTCCACTTTAATCTGGTTTTCAATTCCCAAGCAGAGTCGCAGCGCTGTAGGCCTTTTCGCTAGAACACCGTTTCTTGAGGACCTAGACAGTAATCAACAATACGGCAGCCACACACTCACACACTCTCAGTTTCGTGTGCTGAGCCCCTGTAGTGAAGCAGAAAGCTTTTACATTATTAATGGGCTGGTCCTGTCGAGCACTGAACCTGTTCACGCTGCTGGTAACATTAAACCAGGCAGGCGAGCCAGAACTGTTTGTTGAATTAAGTACTGACTCTGACTTATTGATGCTGCGATGTATTCAACTGGAACGACACTATTAGAGATCAAGAGGTAAAGACGTTAACGCTATATTGATCTAGAGAAATACTCATTTACATTATTTCTCTAGTTCCCTATAGATTATTAATTCTATTATATATGTATATATTTATATATCTATATATTCTGTTTTCATCAGAATAATAATTGTGCTTTGCATGGACTGAAAATCTCAAAGCGTTAAGACAAGTGATTGTGTTCAGTTAGAGCAAGCGTGTCTGTACAAGGCCGAACATCATTTCAACCTTGTAAATGAATCACAATGAATTATGAAAAAAATAGCTGCTGCATCAACGTACTGTAAACTGAAAGATGGAAAGAAGTACAGTGCTTCAGTTTCTTTTTGCGTATTATTATTGTCTCTCTCAACTCACCAAGTTGACCACAATAAACAAATATAATACCCATGTGTAATAACAACCAAACACTGCTATGTACAGTTTACACACACATACATATGTATATATATATATATAGGTATATAAAAATAAATAAAATAAACTTGTACTATATTGATCCCATATTTGGGAAATTGTTGTGTTAGCAGCAGATATGCTGTTAACAGGCTGCCCCTAGCAAGCGCCAAGCATGTGGTTCTTCTGGGAATACAACCCAGGACGGGAAGTTAAGAACACTGTGTGCACACTTTTATGTAAATACTACACAATTAAACACTACTGTAGTGAGGTTGAGATTTGAACTAATATATTTGGTAACATTTATATATAAACTAAATACAAAAAATAGATGCACTGCCCTCTATTATACTATAAAGTTAGATGTATTTATTTTAAACTCACATGATGTATTTACAGTTCCTACTGTCATGCCTACTGTTGGTTTGTCTGGAACACCTCTAGGTCAGAGGAGTCATAAAGGACTTGACATGAGTCATAAAGAGCAAGTTCCCTGGAAACAATAGATTTTTCAGGATATTTACCTGCCACAAAAGTTATTGCCTTCCACGCCTGCACTCCTGAGATACAGCAAGCTATGTAGTAAATGTGGTTGTCCCTGGCAACAGTACTGATAGGTGCCCAGAAATATGATTTTAAAAAGAGCAGTCAAGATTTGGCCAAGGAGAAAAAAAATAACATGGCTGTGAATTTTGAAATGCCTGCGAGGAATTTTGCAAAAACTGAGACACCTGTTCAGGTCCAACTTGCCTAAACTAATAATAATGATTAACAAATAAATACCAATAGTAAATCCAATAATTAAAATGATGAATAGACAAAAGATGATTTCTTACTCCTAATAAATAGAATAAATAATAAATAAAATGTATAAATAGAGAACAAAAGTTTTGACTTTTGTTTAATAAACTGAGGCAAGGCTGACGACAACGACACATACAGTATATGTTAAAGGTCACTAAAGGTCTTGTTAGAGATAAATCATGTGTTCCTTGGCTTCTCCCGGCCCCAGTGCTGGCTCAGATCAAGAAACCCTCAGCTCGGACTATTTTCTGCCATTACAGCTTTCGTGTCATCCGCGGCGTGCTCTATTTAAAGAGGCTGTGCTGATGATCTAAAATGACACATATCCAGTTACAGAGGCCAGGCAATTCAGCTGTAACGCCGAGAGAACGTGCAGGCCTTGCAGGCAAGTAGGCATGTAAATAGTGTTTCATGCTTATCAAGGAGGCGAGTAGTGATGGCACTGATAGATGGCACATCATTAAACCAGCAGCCTGCAAGAGGCCAAATATAAGTGGGGGATGAATGCATCATGCTACTATCATTTTTTTTAATTACCTACAACGTTCATGAAATTTTTATTAAGTGAACGAGTAAAATATGCCAATACAGGCTGATCAAAAGGAGCGTGCTGATTTGGACTACAGGATGTGATTAATCAGATTTGGTTTAAAGCTTGTTCTGTTTAAAACATTTGAATTGTCAACAAGCCATGGACAAACCTGCACTGTGAACTCCATGACCCTTCAACAGTTACTGACTGTGTTTGAGTCTACGACAGAGATATACATGTGCTGTTAGTGCACTCACTGCTACAATTCAATGCTAAGTGTAAATGTTGAAGGAATTGTTTGGTAGTAGGTACAATGATATAATACTGTAGTTTTTGTTTAATATGATTTTATCATCGTAAACATTATACAGCTGAGCAATTAAATTAATCAATTAATCAATAAAATTAGCATGTCATGATGCCACATTTTGTGCAAAGTACCGTCATTTATTGTTCACTTTACAAAACAACAACAACAACACCCGACAAGAGAGCTGTAAGATCTGCATCACCAATATTACTGCTACGGATCCCGCTGTGCATCTTTCACAGCTAATGAGGTTAGGGACAAGCAGAACACACAATGTACGACATGACAGCTGGGCTTTGGCTACTTACATCTGTGTCAGGCCCCTTATCTGCCCCAGGGCAGGAGAATGTGACAAATTCATGGCACCTCTTGTGGACGACAAAACAGCACACTGCAAAAACACAAGAGATGAGCAGAGGGTGAAAAGACAGAAAACACAAAGACGTGGAGAGAGATTGAACATAATTTAAAAAAAGACAATGTTCAAAAAATGTTCATACTGTATATTGACTGTATAGAGAAGAAAACAGAAATTCCTCGTCCCACGATGTCACCACTGTGTTAGTGTAGGTGACTGACGGGTACTGATGTACAGTATGTGAGTTCCAATTTATAGGAACAGAATTCTGACGTAAGTTGAGAACCTAAAAAACCTTTCTACATGTTGAGGCCCTGTATTCTCTACTTGTGTGTCTTAGCGAAGGTTATTTTGACTTGTCTCTCCTTTTGACGAAGTGCTTTTTTACTTATTTCTTCAAGTTAGTGTTGTCAAGGCCAACGCTCGCAACGAGAGATAAAAGCAACAAAAGCTCTGGTTTTAGAGTGTTCACTGAGCACTGACTTACCAGAAGACTCCATTAGTGGTTTTCTGTTGCATTAGCAGTGTGATGCATTGTCACACAGCTGATTTATTAGTTTTACAGTTTCCCTGCTGTTTTAAATTCAAACCAGTGCTGCTACATGTAAGCTCTCCCATTCTCGCTGTATATGTATTCACTTAGTCGTCAACCGTATATCTTTTTATGGTGCAAAAAAAATCCAACCCCCCATATAAAAACAGCCATTGTTGTAATTCATATGTCTTATAATATAATATATCAAAGGTGGGGAACGTATTGTGTTAATGGGTAACTTAATGGTAACAATTATTTCATTGCCTGTTTATTATTATTATTATTTTTGCTATTTTGAAAGACTGTTTACTCACTGGCTTAGACTACAAATCTAGACCAAGAAAAATTAAGGCCATACTTTGACTGTGTGACTGCTGATATTTCTGATCTACAAACCACTTGAAAAGACTTAAAAATGTACAATTCAATATAACTCAATATAACAGACTACACCACTAACCTCAGCCTCTACACCCCCCTCAGGCCTGCCTTATATCATCAGCCACACTGGTCAATATCAAGCAACTAACCATGACCTACAGCATAACTGACGCTGCTGCTGTGCCACAGTCCAGACAGCTCATAAATCTCAATGATTTGGTTCCTTCATGATTCACAGTAACTAGCTGAAAGTACTGCAGCTCTCCTAAATCTTCAGGATCACAGGTCAATACAGATAGCTACTACGATGAGCAACGCTATAATCATTCCCGTATCACAGTCTTATCACAGTGAAGTGTCTTTAATATTTATAAACCTGACAGAAGTATAAAGCAACTGAATCCAAAATCTAATTCTACTTAAAACTGTTTCCACATTCTCTGTGTTTTTATTCTAAGATAAATGTCGTACTGAGATAAATTTAGCGTCCAATTCCCCGTATATATGACTAAAACAATATTTACCCAGGGATTTATAAAAAGAGAAATTGTTAATGTGGTTTTCACAGACACTGTAAGATAAACAAGGCGGTTGGAACAGGAAAGACAAACAGAGGCCAAGCTTACAGTCTTGTGTTGCATCATTAGGCCATCGACCACAGCAGCTTTGTTGTGGGGGACACTTAAAGCCTGACGCTTTATGGCTTCACATCTGAAGTCATCTCAAAGCAACACCTCCGAAAGCAGACGCAGGCTGCCATCTAGGATTAGTGAAACTGTGGAACGCTAACTGGTCGATATTTGGTGGAAACAATTAAACAGGTTTATGAAAAAAAAATTGAACTTAGACTATTACAGGAGGTCCTCGGTTTACGACATTCTCAACCTACAGTGTCATCTCCCATAAATTTATTTTAAAAAATCTTAATCTCAAATAGTTACATAATTGGCAACAGATTAAAAAAATACGTTGTCACGCGGTATTATCTGCGGAAAACGGCTTCGGTTGCATGCCGGTTGTACGCCATTCATTGGATTGTGCTACAAAAGCTTTCTTTAGTTTGTGTTGTTTTTTTAAGGGAACTTTTTGCCCTTCATTGTGGCTCCCAAGCCAAAGTAAAACTCTTCTGATGTTTTTATGTCCTAGATTATGATGTCACCACTGTGTTGGCGTAGGTGAGTGACAGGTACTGATGTACAGTATGTGGGTTCTGACTTACAGCTAAATTAATCAATCAATGAACGGAATTTCGACACAAGTTTAGGTCCCCCTGTAACATTAGCTACAGCTACTGAAATCAAAGAACCAATCAGGTGACACAATGTGCATGACAGCAATTTATGCTCACGTAGTCATATCAGCATTTAACATTTCTCAGGTCATAGCATGAGATTTTCCATCATCTTCTCTGGAGTATAATGAAGTTTTATGATATATTATTCATTGGATTCAAAAACAACATCAAATCAATTATAATTTTAGCTGAATTGATACGTTGATTTATTGATTCAGCAGGGGACGGGTTAATAAGACTTTGATTGATTGTAGGGATTTACTAACCCACCTGTATGGTCCAAAGCTTATCTGTCATTGGTTAAAAGCGTTCGCCATCACCACCAGTAAAGTGACACCGCTTAAATTTGACAGAAAGATGAGAGATGTATAATAAAAGTAATTCTGTACTTTGTAACCTTTATAAACCAAAGCAGCAAACAAATGATATTAAACACCTGGCGTCCTGTAACACCTTTTATATCTTTTTATTTAACACATTAATAGAGTAATTCGTTACATTCAGCATCTATGGTCCTAGCAGCCGATGACAGCACCTCCATGACAAAGACATGTTTCTACAGAATCACAGTGGGATATTTATACATCAGGATATACTGTACCGTAAAACTTAAAGACCACACAAGCTGCAGGGAGAAAAGTGGGAGATTCCCTTAACTCTGATATGGTTTAGGGTGAAACCAAGTTCAAAACTGTGCTTAAAGAGAAAAGAAGCCCATTGGATAGAGAACTGGCAGCACATGAGTGAAGCCCTTAAAGCTGTAAGTTAGTTACAATTCTAGTTATTTAATTTAATAAATATTGTAAATGTGAAAGTAATTTCTTAATTAGAAATAATTAATAGAAGCACAGTTTCAGCACATTTTGAGAGAAAGGAGGGAGAAGCTAATTTACCTGACAAGAACAGAAGAAAAATGCAGCCTTTAGTTAAAAAGAAAGGGGAGAAATATTCCGTAATTAGGAAATACTTTGAAAATACTCAGTGTGGGTTTTCAGTACAGGCAGAAATATCGTCACCGGTCTGTGCTCATCTCTAATGCCAGACCATGTAAACAAACTGTGGCCTGTTAAAAGCCTTTAAACGCTGTTACCAGTTTTAGATTTTTAAAAAAGTGAATAAATTCAGATCAGAAGAGAACACAGTGACACCGTCATCATTTCTTTATGCGTTGTTTTCTCAGCCGTCCACAAACGAATCAGAACAATAATGTGGTCTTGACAATAAAATGATCTTTTTACCTGATCAATAATTCAACACCACAGCCTGACATTTCAACCCTCCTATAATGGTTGACATCTCAACACAGCATAGAAGAATTCAACTATCCTACCATGAAGGTTAAAGCCAGTAGAAAGTCAAAATACCAAATGCAGCCACATGTTGATCTGTACTGAATGTACAGTATGGGCCATGAATATAAAAGAAAATACTCGTTGGTTCTACTGACAGTAGTCAGACTCCTTCAGAAGCTCTTGTTGTATTGACAAAAATTCAATTAATCATTTTTTTGTTGTATCAGGAAAAATAGAAACACCCAACAGTTTGTTACATTTATGAATCAGTTTTAGAAATCAGTGGAAACAGCTCTTTAGCCCACGGCATTAAAAGAAAAATAGGAAAAAACCCACATACCCATCAAATATATATATATATATATATGTGTGTGTGTGTGTGTGTGTGTGTGTGTGTGTGTGTATAGTTATTGCTTGATAAAAATGCATGTTCAAACTGAATGTTGTATGTTACCATTTGAATTATGATCCATGTTTCTAAACATGAGGATACTCCAGATAAATTGACACCAGCCAGGGCCAAAGTATTGATCTCCAATAAAGTCACTGCGGTTCCTGATATTGCTCCAGGATAGAGAGCCATCAGTCAGAATAGCCACATAAATAGAAATCCCTGTGAAACCATTTCAGATATAAATGGTTTACTGGCAGCATGATAGTGGTTTCATTATCCTCACAGCCCCAGAATTCCTGCGAACACTTTATTTCTGCCAGCTGAGATTGGGACGCAACCTGGAGTCGTAGAAATGTAACATATGGGTTGCTATGAATAAAAGCAAACGCAATGTTTATAATTGGAAAAATGTGAAATTAGATGTATTGCATTATTCAACAGCCATGTGTTCGCACCTACCTCTATCAATAAAAATAGTCTCTTGTCTCCCAGGAGTAATTAGTGACAAAGACAAAGGAAACCACACCATTGTTACTGATGTATCCCTTTATAATTACCAATATTGGCTTTTACACTTTTTATTAATGAAAAACCATTTCTGCCTTTTCCCCAATGACTTCTCCTGACTTCCTAAATCTTTTCGTATACTTAACTGTAAATGGTTAAATCGTTCATGCAGCTCCTAACACTGGTCGTCTACTACTTTTAGGGTCGCAATGGGAGCTGGAGCCAATCCCAGCAGCTGAATGAGTGAGGACAGGAGACAACAGCCAATTGCAGGGCAGTATTTATTCCTTTTTCACACTCAATCCTGCCTCGAAGTTCGTGTTTGTGACTGGAATGAGGTACTAAACGTAAATGGGTTTCTGTGTACACAACGTGTGCAATAGGTGTGTATACTACGTCCATCCACTGAGTGGACAAACAGCAGGGACAACACCAGTCCTGTCATTAGCCACTTCAATCTTCAATCTTCAATCTTGAAACATTTGGCTGGATGGTTGTGTTTTGAGTGTTGGGTTAGGTTTGTTGTTAAGGATGATTTGACGGGGGCTCCCCCACAGTTGACCTCACTGTTACATATATTACAAATAGCCAGCTTGGAGCCCTGTTGGCTCACTGTACGGTCATTGTTTG